TCCTCCCAGACTGAGCCAAGTGTCCCTGCATAAGCTCCAGGTTTCAAACAGCCAACTCATGCAATGAACACTTGGTTCCACTGCCTAGTTGCCTCCCAAACTGATCAAGCCAATCAACTGTCACACCTATTCAGAGGGCCTGATCCAGCTGGGGGCCCCTCAGCCTTTGGTTCATAGTTCATGTAGAACAATTTGTTTTTTTTCTTTATCTCACGATTTAAAATTTGTTCAAAAATCTCTAGTTTGCTATACATATTCAACAACTTCTTACAACTCTTACTAAAATAGTGCGGAAAAACTTTGAAGAGAAAAATTAAAGGCCAAAATAACTAGATTGTAGACCTTTTGGTGACTGTGTATCTATAATGCTATCTTCTTTTCTTGTGTAACACCAGAAATGTAATCGCTAGTCTAGTTTTACACACACATAAAGTTTAACAGTCACACATATTTATTGAGCACCGTGTGTCCAGGCCTGGGCATTTGCACAGAAGAGCCCTTCCTATGGTATTAACACAGGCCTCTCCAACAGTGCATTCTCTTCAATCAACCTGTGTTAAAATGCACACACATGTAGAACCTTTTCTGCACATAACTGTGTCTAAGGATCTGTGGAGCATTTGGCAGGATGAGAGGAAAATAAAATACAAACTAGAATGGAGAATTGTTGTGAGAAAGAACATTGGAATTGACATAAATACATTTAGGGGCCCTCGAAGCTGAATTGAGTTACATTTTAAGTGATTTATTCATTTTTATTTACTGTGTATGAGTGCTTTGCTTTCATGTATGTAAGGGCACTGCTTGGATACCTGGTGCCCATGGAGGCCAGAGAGGCACTGGATCCCCTGGAACTGGAGTTGCAGACAGTTGAAGTCCCCATGTGGAAGCTGGGAATGGAACCCAGGTCATCTGCAGGAGCAGAACCTAAGTTGAATCCTTGAGACCATAACAAGAGGGGGCCCGTCAGTCTCACAGCTCAGGAATGAGAAGGGGAAACATAGTGGCTTTTCAGAGAAGCTTCTCCTGGCCTTTGCCTTTGAGGGACCATCTCTTGTGTGTTTTGATTTGGGATGTTGAGGAGACTCAAAGGAAGGCTGTGCCTAGAACCATCCCATAATGCCAGCAGCAGTGCCTATGCTAAGGGAAACTGTAGATGTTATGTTCCTTACCCTGTCACAGACACCCTTGATGAACAAACAGGTCTTACTTAAAGACAAACCAAGATTTTATATGGGTTATGTGAATTTCATGTTAAGTATTTTGTAAGTACTTACCTTATAGCCACATCACATACATTTTGGGAGCACCATGTGACATTTCAGTGTGTGCGCGCGCACACACACACACACACACACACACACAAGCACACACACACACACACACACACACACACACACACACACACACAAGCTACATTGGTACAAAGAAAACTAAAATTTCTTCTCCACAAAGATTACTGCCCAGTTCACTTTAGGATGTGAAATAAAAATTAATAGTCTAGATGTCTTTGGCTTCACACTTTTTCTCTTGAGGAAGGGCTTTCTTATAGTACAATCAGCATCATACACCTCATCGACTTACAGTGAGGAAATCTGTGGCTATGGGTATAGTCAGAGGTGTGCAAGCTTATTTTCACAATCTGCCCTGCTTATTTAATGCAGAGATGCTTTACCACAGCTTCTCTCGGTCTTTTTAGTGTGTGTGTGTGTGTGTGTGTGTGTGTGTGTGTGTGTGTGTGTGTGTGTAGATCACAGGATAATTTCTGAAAGTCAGTTTTTTTCTTCCAACTTGTGATGAGATCTCCCCTGTATTCGTTTCCATGCTGGGTCCTCCAGGTTATCTAGCCCTTCAGCTCCCAGGTGATTCCCTGTGTTGGGATTCCAAAGGCATGCCACTGTGTTCCCCTTTTCATGGTGTTCTTGGATTGAACTCAGATCTCCAGTCTGTGCAGCCAGCAGGTTTACCTGCAGAGACACATTGCTCGACCTTGCATCATTTTCAGAGCCTTTTTCTTGGTGTGTAGTTCAGAGGATCAAATCCAGAGCCTTCCATATGCTAGGCAAGTGCTCTGTCAGCCTGGTGGGATTTTAAATATAGAAGCATTTCATCTACAAATGGGGTAATTTGACTTCTTCCTTTCCTGATTGACTCTCCCTCTCCCCCCCCCTCTCTGTCTCTCTTTCTTATCTTAATTCTCTGAGGATTCAAGCTCTGTATTAAATGATAGTTGAGAGAATGGTCACCCTTGGTTCTATCCTATATTTAGAGGAACTAACTTATCTCATTCCCTATTCAGTATAATGCTGTTGGTAGGATTATCAGAGTGGCCTGTTTGTGTGCAGGTGTGAGCATTCTCTTCCCGGTTTGTTCAGGGCTGTAATTAAGAATGAGTTTAGTTTATGAAAGACTTCTCCATCTATTAATATTATGATCTAGTAGGATAAAAAATTACCCCTTTATTTGTTAAGCCTTGCTTTACAGGTTAAAATGATTTTTACAGCTTAAATGATTTCTGTCTTGGCAAAAGACCCATGAGCTGCTGAGGAGGATGTGACTTCAGTGACTGTATAGAACATTCTGTAGAAATCTTGTGAGTCCATTTGATCAATGGCACAGTTTAACTCTGAAGTTTGTTGACTTGTCTATTGATGTGAGTGGGGTATTAAAGTCAACCCCATCCTCGCTTTGGTAGCATGTATACTAACCCTGGAGTGATACAGAGGAGATTAGCATGGCCCCTGTGCAGGGATGACACACACATTGGTGAAACATTCCATAGTTTTAGGATAAAATTGATTTGATAGAGAAAAAGGTTCTCCTTAGGAAAGGGGAGGGAGGTAAATACAGGAGGAGAGGAGCACATAAAATAACAATATGGATGGATGAAAAAGCCTCAAGGAGTCACACTATTAACTATTTGCTTAAAACAATAAAACCTCTAATGCCCATAATTCAGTGTACACATATACATATGTAGTTTACTGAATCTTTCTCACCTGGGCTGACGGAGCTCCCAAAGACCACCTAACAAAAAAACAAGTACTAGATAGGAGAAGCCCTCTTGTGAGTTGTTGCCAGGGCTGTCTAAGAGACTCCTAAAACATACAGTCTATTGCTATTGCCCTTAGTTATCCTCCAGAGGTAGAAGGTAATTCCCCATTGCTGAAGACACCATGCACTTCAGACACAGGGCCCAGAGGCCCTTGAGCTGTCACTGACTTGGATGACCCCCTCCCCGCCACCCTGCCCTGAGGACTATCTTTAAAGATACTAGAAGGCACATGAAAGCTTCCAAAGGAGAGAGACACAGTAGTCCTCCCTAGCAATGACATCATGAACCACATCAGTGATGACCTGTCCAGTAGCCTTGTGGGTGAAGTAGTGGTACACAAGCCCTGCCAGTAACTGTGGTGGTTTGAGAGAAAATGACCCTCAAAGGAATTGACATTTTTAGGTGGTGGGGACTTGTTGAGGTAGGTGTGGTCTTTTTAGAGGAAGTGTGTCACTGTGCAGGTGGCCTCATGTATGCTCAAGGCACACCCAGTGAGACAGACCACTTCCTGTTGCAGACACAAGATGTAGAACTTTCAGCTACTTCTCTAGAAAATGTCTGCCTGCATGCTGCCATGTCCCACTATGATGATAATGGACCAAATCTCTGAACTGTGAGCCACTCAATTAAATGCTTTTCCTTTATAATAGTTGCCATGGTCATGGTGTCTCTTCACAATAATAGAAACCCTAACTAAGGCAGTCTCTATTTGAGTTTGGTACTGGAAACCTAGATAACTAACCAGTGCTAGTGAAGCCAAGGTTATTGGAGGAAAATCTATAACTCTAATTTACTAAAGCAGCATAATCCTTAGCAACACCCTGTAAACATTTGTCCTTACACCCGTAGTGTAAGTCCCATAGTGTCAGTCCCATAGTGTAGTCCCACTTACACCCATAAGTGTAGTCTACCTCTCATCAAGGACATGTCTTTTTGCAATGTATAGAGACCATTGCAGAAAACCACAACCAATTAGAATGCAGTTTGGGGACACAGCTCCAATGGAAGCATCTACAAAACTCTCTCTCTCCCCCAAGGCTCAGGGAACACTGTGGAAGACCAAGCAAATAGAAAGAGTGTAAGAGGAAGAGCGTCAGGGAGTTTGCTGTGATGGTGCAGGATGTTTGATCAGACTGTGTTAAAGGTGCCTTCTGATTGGTTTAATAAAGACTGAATGACCACCAGCCAGGCAGGAGAGAGTAGGCTGGACTTCCGGGTAGAGAGAGGAACTCAGGGTTATGAATGTAGGTGAGCGAGAGACACTAGAGAGACACTGAGCAAGTCAGACATACAGAATGGAAGAGAGGTAAAAAGCCATGTGGCAGATTGTAGATTAAGAGAAACAGGTTAATTTAAGTTATCAGGGCTAATTGGGAGCAGGCCTAAGCTAAAGGCCAAACTTACACAATTAATAGTAAGTCTGTGTAATTATTTGGGGGCTGTTGTTCCAAGAAAGTCTGACAAGAAAGTCCTACTAACTACACCCACCAAGTCTCATCAACACAATTTCCCAAACATGGGCTAAAGAGGAGGTCAGCTGTGAACATTCCAACTGCATGGAGAAAAGTCCAGGGGGCCTCAGCTCTACACAAAGAATTACAGGCAACTTAGGAAAGCTGGGAGAAGGAGGGGCGGTCTTCCCCATTGAAGAGCACACCAATTGGTTGTCCAGAGCCAAATGGTCAGCCCTGAAACCATGACAGTTAACATTGTATGTATTTATCAGGTTATATTTGGAAGGAGCCCATGCATTTGAAGGAGAGCAGGGAGGGCTATATGGGAGAGTTTGGAGGGAGGAAAGGGAAGGAGAGATGTTGTAATTAAAATACAATTTCAGAAATAAACTACAACAACAAAATAAGTCAGCAAAGTGATAGTTGGTAAAGTGCTGGGAGATGTCTTTCTGTATGCTGTGGATGTATGTTGTCCCATTGGTTAATAAATAAATAAGCTGTTTTGGCTTATGGCAAGGCAGCTTAGAGGCAGGCAGGAAATCTGAGGAGAGAGACAGGAAAGAGAAAGGTGGAGTCGGGAGAGATACCATCCAGCTGCCCAAGGAACAAGTTGCCAGCAGACCGGCAATGCCACCGCCACATGGCAAAATATAGATGAAAAGAAATGGGTTAATTTAAGAGGTAATAGCTAGCTAGCTACCAATAAGCCTGAGCCATAGACCAGAAGTTTGTAATTAATATTAAGCCTCTGAGTCATTATTTTATAAAAACAGCTGCTACCCTGGCAGGACCTGGTGGGACCAAGAAACTTCAGTAGCAGTCAAGTTTAAAGATTAATGTTCTCTAAGAGCACGTTTCTTTCTATTATTATTATTATTATTATTATTATTATTATTATTATTATTTTTGGTTTTTCAAGACAGGGTTTCTCTGTGTAGCTTTGTGCCTTTCCTGGAACTCGCTTTGGAGACCAGGCTGGCCTGGAACTCACAGAGATCCACCTGCCTCTGCCTCCCGAGTGCTGGGATTAAAGGCGTGTGCCACCACTGCCCGGCCTTCTATTATTTTTTTTTAGAGAGAAAAATAAACTATTTCATGAAAAAAAGTACAAAGCTTTGGAAAAGAGGTCTAGGTTTCCATGTATAGTAGAACACCCTCGCTTCCCAGGACCCTGGGATTCACACTTCTTTTGAGTTAGTGAAGACCACCAAGTTCTCATTCCACCTAACATCGTACTTTAAAAATCCACTGAAGAGTTTTGTCTACAAATGAATGTAAAATACACAGCCGCATAAACATATATTAATCCATCTACACTGAACACTTAAAGATGCACAGCAAGTGAATTCTTTCAGAACTAAGTCATGTCTAGAAATAATAGAATCTAAACTTGTATTGTTTAGCCATGAAGTCACCATGGCAAAGACTACCTCTAGTCTCACAAATGGAATTACAGAATTTATCCATACAAGATGGGAAAGAGGGCTGTAGAGGTGGCTCAGAGGTTAAGAGCACTGGGTGCTCTTCCAGAGGTCCTGAGTTCAATTCCTAGCAACCACATGATGGCTCACAAGCATCTACAATGAGATCTGGTGCCCTCTTCTGGCCTGCAGGCATACATGCAGGCAGAACACTGTATATGTAATAAACAAATAAAATTCTTAAAAAAATAAAAAAGAATACACATATAAAATAAAAAAAGATAGGAAAGAGTCTCTAACATGACACGTCTATGAACCGTACCTTGAAGGAGTGACAGACAGATGTCAATCGTGATTACACAGCAAGCCTGAAGGAATGACTGTCACAGTGTCTGGACTGGCTCCCCACACACTCCTCCAGAGGATCGAAAACTACACCGTCAGCCTGGGTACAACTAGGAAGCTTTACTCCAAAGCATGGGAAGTCACACAGGCCAGTTCCCTGCCTTTGAAAACTGAGACATTACTAAGAATCCTAGAAAAACAGTCAGCACAACACTTCCCCCATTCACAGCTCTCTCTAGAACCCTGGCTCCTCAGCAAAGGCTCTCCAGAAACTGTCCCTGTTTCTGAGGGTGGAAGTCAAGTGCCCAGGGGAGCATTGGCTTCATTCTTTGCAGGTAAACACCAATGATGACATCACAGGCACACATCAACAAAACATTCCAACGCTAGGCAAACAAAAATACCTTATGTTTCTCCTGGATCTGAAAAGAAATATAATTAATTTTTAAAATAGAAGATAGTTCAGTGGCTATGTTAGGGACTTGTGTATTTTTTTCTTTATGTCTTATTTATCTCAACATATTTTCTCATGAACTAGGTACAGAATAATAATTCTCTTTGAACTGTCTGCATCTCAAGGATCTTGACATTTCTTTTTGTTTTATTTCAAAGTGTAAAGCTATAACTAACTGCCCTAAGAGTACCAAGGGCTTCTCTACACCTAACAACTTCAGACTTAATATTAAAAAAAAACAATTTTATTCCAGTCCATTTCTTGGGCAGGACAGCCCCAGAACACTTTTGGTGCTGGCTTAGTGTTCACTTCTGACCCAAGGCTGATGTGCACACAGAGGAAGTGCACTTGAAGATGCTTGCAGTGGTTTCCTTTGGGTAGGAGGCTGTCAACAGCAGAAGGTCCACAGGCACACTGGAGTGCTGTGCCAGGGGAGGAAAGGACACACCGAGAATGAGTAACTGCACCCAGGCACATATTCCACAGGTATCTAGGGTTTTAGCTTTTCAACTCTGACCTCTGACAATGGTTAAACAAAGCAGCACACGAAGGCAAAGTCTGATTAGAAACGCCTGCAGGAGAGCTCCTGTCCTCTCCAGCCTGTGTGCTCTTAGCTGCCCTGGCCAGCGGGGTCTTCATGGGGACCTAAAGGGAGGGCCGGCGAATGAGAGGGACAAGAGACACAAAGAATGAGAGCAAGACAGGATGTCTGATCAAGCTCCAAAATTTTATTTTACTCTCAAGGCATATATAGGTAGGCAAAGGGGGTTGAGAGCAGGAAAAGACTTAATTAAGCAGGAAGGGACTTAATTATGGGCTGTGCAGCCAGCAGGAAATGTTGCTCTGAAGGTTATCTATCTACCCTTGTCTAACTGCCTAATTACTTAACTGCAGCTCATTCACCTGATATCTGAGAAGAGGTTCTGGTATCTGTGGGAAGAGGTTCTGGTGCTATGGAGACTTAAGCAAGGCCTAGATCTAAGAAAAGAGGAGAAAACCCCAAATATGGCAGCATATATGTCAAGGGTCGCTTAGGCTTATGGCTCCTGTCACTTATCAGCCACCTGAGGGCTGAGGTACCAGCCTACTGAGGTACCAGTACCATAAGTCCCTACATGCAGGAGCCAAGGTTTATTGGCTATAGAATGCCATGTGGTTCAATTACCAAAACCTGTGACTTTTACGACCTTTCTTTCTATTACCTATTTCAAAGAAACAGAAGAAAAGCAAAAAGAGCACATTTCTTAATAAAAAGTAGAGGAATTAAATCTTTTTTAAAAAATTTATTTTACATAACAACCAGTTTCCTCTCCATCCTCTCCTCCCATTCCCTTCTCTCCACCTCCTTTCTACCAGCCCCCCCTCACTCCTCAGAAAGGGTAAGGCCTCCCATGGGGAGTCAACAAAGTCTGGCATATCAAGTGGAGGGAGGACCAAGCTCCTCCTCCATGCCTCAAGGCTGAACAAGGCACCCATCATAGGGAATGGGTTCTAAAAAGCCAGCTCTTGAGCCAGGGACAGATCCTGGCACCACTGCTAGAGGCCCCACAAATAGACCAAGGTATACAACTGTCACCTTCATGCAGAGGGCCTAGGTTGGTCCCATGCAGGCTCTCTAGCTGTCAGGCTAGAGTCCATGAGCTCACAGTACCTTGGGTCAGCTGTCTCTGTGGGTTTCCTCATCATCATCTTGACCCTCGTTGCTCATATAATCCCTCCTCCCTCTCTTCCACTGGATTCCTTAGAACTTGGCCCAGGGTTTGGCTGTGGATCTCTGCATCTGCTTCCATCAGTTACTGGATGAAGGTTCTATGATGACAATTAGGGTAGTCACCAATCTGATTACAGGAGAAGGCCAGTTCAGGCACCTTCTGATAGATTCACAACACGCCCCCACGGTTGGGCATGTCCGGTGGACCTAGACACTTCCACCTAGCCAGTTCCAAGTCAAAATAGCCATTTCCAAGTTAAGGTGTCTCATGTGACCAGGACCCCGTGGCTTTCCATGGTTGTGTAAGAGCGCACAATGAAACCATGTGATCTACGTGTATGTGTGGAGTAGCCACATGGACCTGTGTATGCCTGTGCCACCCAACCTTTATAAGCCGGCGCCACATTCCCAGCTTCTTTCTTCTTCCCCATGCACATGTCTTTTTAACAGGCCTGAGCACCCCTGTCTTTCTCTCTTATCTTAATAAAACTCTTGTTAGTGGATTCTGTCATGTTTCATGACATTTCCTTGCAGGGTAAGAGCGCCACCAAATAACTAACACCTTCTCCACTATTGCTAGAAGTCATCTTTGTGGATTCCTGGGAGTTTCTGTGGCACCAGGTTTCTCCCTAACTCCACAATGGCTCCCTCTATTAAGATTTCTTTTTCATTGCTCTCCCACTCTGTCTCTCCCTAGTTGGACCATCTCATTTCCTCATATCCCATCCTGCACCCCCTCCTCTCTGCTCTTCCCCATCTGCATTTTATCCAGGAGATCTCATCTATTTCCCCTTCCCACAGCAATCCATGTGTCCTTCTTAGAGTCTTCCTTGTTACCTAGCTTCTCTGGGGCTGTGAATTTTATCCTGGTTATTCTTTGCTTTACATGTAATATCCTCTTATTAGTGAATTCATACCATGTTTGTCTTTCTGGGTTTTGGTTACTTCACTCAAGATGATTTTTTCCTTAGTTCCATCCATTTGATTGCAAATTTCATGATATCATTTTTTTAACTGCTGAATAATACTCCATTGTATAAATGTACCATATTTTCTTTATCCATCCTTTGGTTGAGGGACATCTATGTTGTTTCCAGGTTCTGGCTATTACAAATAATGCTGCTATGAACATAGTTGAGCAAATGTCCTTGTGATATGATTGAGCATCCTCTGGATTTATACTGAAGAATGATATCACTGGGTCTTGGGGTAGATTGGCTCTCATTTTTCAGAGAAACCACCATACTGTTTTCCAAAGTGGCTGTACAAGTTTGCACTCCTAACAGCAGTGGAGAAATGTTACCCTTATTCCACATCTCTCCAAAATAAGCTCTCACCATTATTTTTGATCTTAGCCATTCTGACAGGTGTAAGATTGTAGATGTAACCAACCATCTTATTAAATAAGAAACAAAGAGCCAATGCAAAGATGAAAGCCCAAGAGGTCAGAGCTAAGAGCCTTACCCATCTGCTGCAGCTAGTCTCTTCAGCCAAGAGAGCTACTTCCTGTTTGTTTGTCTTTATATAGACTTTCTGTTCTGCCTACTTATTGGTCGTAAACACAATGACCTCCTCGTCACTGCCCATCTGTACAGACCTCCGGGTCTTCTACGGTAGGTATTGAGATTAAAGGCATGTGTCTCCATGCTGGCTGTATCCTTGAACACACAGAGATCCACCTAGCTCTGCCTCCCAAGAGCTGGGATTAAAGGCGTGCGCCACCAACGCCCGGCTCTGCTATGGCTTGCTATTAGCTCTGACCCCCAGGCAACTTTATTTATTAACATATAAATAAAATCACATTTCAGTACAAATAAAATATCACCATATAAGGTGGTATCTCAGAGTCATTTTGATTTACATTTCTGTGATGACTAAGGATATTGAGCAATTTCTTAAATGTCTTTCAGCCATTTGAGATTCTTCTGTTGAGAATTCTCTGTTTAGATCTGTACCCCATTTTTAAACTGGTTTATTTGGTATTTTAATGTCTAGTTTCTTGAGTTCTTTATATATATTTGGAGACCAGTCCTCTGTCAGATGTGGGGTTGGTAAAGATCTTTTCCCATTCTGTAGGCTGCTGTTTTGTCTTATTGACCATGTCCTTTGTCTTACAGAAGCTTTTCAGTTTCAGGAGGTCCCATTTATTAGTTGTTGATCTTAGTGTCTGTGCCACTGGTGTTCTTCTGTGCCAGTATGTTCAAGGCTATTTCCCACTTTCTCTTCTATCAGGTTCAGTATAACTGGATTTATGTTGAGGTCATTGATCCATCTGGACTCAGATTTTGTGCATGGTGATAAATATGGATCTATTTGAATTCTTCTACACATCAACATTCAGTATACTAGCACCATTTGTTGAAGATGCTTTCTTTATTCCATTGGACAATTTTGGCTTCTTTGTCAAAATCAGGTGTTCATAGGTTTGTGGATTAATGTCAGGGTTTTTTATTTGATTCTATTGTTCCACCTGTTTGTTTTTATTTCAATATTATGCTGTTTTTATTACTATAGCTCTATAGTAGACTTGAAGTCAGGAACAGTGATGACTCCAGAAGTTCCTTTATTATACAGGATTGTTTTAGCTATCCTGGGTTTTTTGTTTTTCTATATGAAATTGAGTATTGTTCTTTTTAGTTCTGTGAAGAATTGTGTTAGGGTATTGATGAGGATTGCATTGAATCTGTAGATTGTTTTTGGTAAAATTGACTTTTTTTTTCTTTCTTAATCATACCTATCTAAGAACATGGAAGATCTTTCTATTTTATGACACCTTCTTCAATTTCTTTCTTTAAAAACTTAAAGTTCTTGTCATACAGGTCTTTCACTTGTTTGGTTAGAGTTACCCCAAGATATTTTATATTATTTGTGGCTATTGTGAGTGGTGATGTTTCTCTGATTTCTTTCTCAGCCCTGATCATCATTTGTATATAGGAGGACTACTGATTTTTTTGAGTTAATCTTGTATCCTGCCATATTACTGAAGGTGTTTATCAGCTCTAGGAATTCTCTGGAGAATTTTTGTGGTCACTTATGTATACTATCATGTTATCTGCAAATAGCAAAAGTTTGACGTCTTCCTTTCCTATTCGTATTCCCTTGATCTCATTTTGTTGTCTTATTTCTCTAGCTAGAAGTTTTAGTACTATA